TAGTGAGAATAGGTCTTAACCATTAAGATACAGAATAGAGTCTTAGTATCATTAAGAGACATTCTTGTATGGATAATATTCATCACCCCTCTATCCATAATCACCGGTTGCCACCATTAACTACCTACGTAATTACAACCCCACTACCACCACCATTATTATCGTCAACCACCAACCACCTCTGTCATCATAACCACTGTTGTTATCCACTATTGTCAGCTACTATTATGCTACTTCCATAATTATAATTACATCCATTGCCATCACCACCCCCATCTACGTTTGCCCCGCCACCTCCAACTCCACCACCACTCTAAACAACTACCCCCCACTATAGTCAATTTCTACAACCAACAGACTTCTCTATCATAACTAGTGTCATTGTCGTTATCACCATACATTCTTCAATCACCACTACCATTATTACTATCATCTACTACCATCATTATGGTCACGACTATCAACCACTTTCATCACCATAAGTAGCATCACTGACAACTACCACAAATACATCATCAACCACCATACATTCTTCAGTCACCACCATTAACACCACTAACTATAACACCAACCAACTTCACCATTACAACAACTGACACCATTATCAATCACCATATTTATGATATTCAATACAACATCAACTATCTCCATCATCATAATTATCACCACCATCATTACAACAATTATTATCACCATCACGACAAGCTATCTCAATTACACAAGTGTTTTATTTCTTTATATCAAATGCTAGTTTTATTTTATTAATTATTTTTAATATATAATTAAGTTTTATTTGAATTATATATTTATTATGTACATGGAAATAAATTATATACATTCAGATGTTTAAAATATTTATTATGCCTATGGAAATAAATTATATACATTCAGATGCTGTAAAACGAAATCATTTAGTTTTCATATTTAGATACCACATCTTAATCATTTAAATGTGCATTCAGATTTAGACATCTAAATCTTGATGAAAACACATGAGGTCTTAATGGATCTAAATAACTCTCAACCACTAAGATTTAGAATAGAGCTTATAATTATGAAATATTCTTGTGTGGATAATATTCACCATCACTCTAAGCACCATCCCTGTCATCACGCTAATGCTCTTTTGTAATTTATCTTTTTTTATTGTTTTATTTTGGGAAAGGTTCAATCTTTCTTTTTATGTGAAAGGTTGTTCTCTTCAATTTGCCTTTTTATTTTTCTTTTTAAAATTACAATAAAACTCAAAAATAAATATATATTAACTAACTTTTTTAGATGAATAAAAATATAGAAAAACTAAATAATCAGAATACACCAAGAAGTTATTATAAAAAATACACTACAATTACTAACTTATTAACTAAAATAAAAACTAATAAAAATATATTTTATATACTCATTTTCTTCTTTTTATTTTTTCTTTATTCATTTATTTTTTCTACTTTTTTTCTTTATTTATGTAGGAATGTTCACCATTTGGATAAAACCGATCCAAATCTAAAATTCAACTCAAACTGATTAAATAAATTAATTTTATTTGAGTTGGTTTGGTTTGATTTTATATTTTAAAAAATCGATAGTATTTAGTTTGGTTATTATTTTTTAAATTTTTTTTAAAGAAATAATCAAATTGAACCGACAAATTATATGTATATATTTTATTGTCAATATACATACATAATATATTACTTTTATAAACAATTATAATGATCTTATATATGTTTTCATAAAAAATTATGTATAATTTACTTATGATAGAAAAAAATGCTCAAGGTAAGAATATTTATCTTATTAGTTTCATGTATATAGTATCTATGACAATCATTTGTGGACTGAAAATGTCACTGTCTCTTCTTTCAGGATAAAAAAGTGAATTAACATACTTTATTTCATACTAAATTCAGTAATAAAAAGTTATGTAATGTTAGACATTCTAACTATTGTTCATTTTAAATGGATTGTAATCATTCTTGCCACGTTTTTAAATGAATTGTTTCTTTAAAATTTGTGTATGGTTAATAATCTAATAACTTAACCAACCGAAATCGACAACAACCAAACTGATAAATGTATATTATATTATATTTAGTTTGATTTGTTTTTTATAATTTTAAAACTAATTGAATTTGATTGATTTTGATTTTGATCAATAACCAACCTAAGTCAATCCCTGAACACCCTTAAATTTTAGTAAACTAATGTGGGGTGAGGGGTGGGGTTGGGGGTGGGGGGTTGCAGAACAATAGATCGAATTACTATATATAAAGAAGATTCGTAAACTATAGGCCTGCTTTTCATTTTTTTCTCTCCATTTTCCCATTTTCTCCTTTATTGGGTCTTTTAGTGTTTATTCATTTTCTATTTATTTTTTCTCTCAAATTGTGATATTCTTTATTTTTTGTTTTTTATCAGAATTTAATTTCGTATACTTCTATATATTTAAATCATGTATATAATAAATACTTTTGTAAATATTAGAATATTGTCTCAAAAGTTTTGTTTTTAATTAAATATTTTGTCAATTAGTTTAATTTAATTATGATTATATTTTTGAGTTAATTATTATTTTACAATAAGTTAATTATTTTACTTTGTTAAAATTAAGAAGTTGGTTGATTAAATAATTAATATTAATTTGTGTTATTTAATGTTTAGCCGTTTTCACCAATTAATGTAATTTGTCAATGTTGGCCATAATTGCAATCTATATATGGTTAAATTCGAAATGAAATTTGAAGCCCTAATTTCTCCTCTTTAAAGCCCCTTGTCGAGTGATTGTTTGGGTTTTACCCGAAACAGAGAAGCGAAGAGAAAAGAGTTTTGAGTCTTTCAGTTTTGCTCTCCCCTTTTCAAGCTCGTTATCGTCCCAGGCGTTGCCCTGAAGAATAGGTATTACTTGTTTACTGTATTTATTTCTGTTGTTGAGTAGATTTCTTCCCCTCAACCCCCTCTCATTTTCGAATTCGTATCATCGCTTGGATGTATTGTTTCAACTGTCATTTGTTTGGTTTAGAATTCTGATTTTTAGCTGAATCTGAAAAACCTATTGTCTAAATCTCTCCTTGGTTGCCTATTAAGTTATAGAAATTCATAATTGTTTGACTATGATTATAGTATCTGTTTGTATGGCTGATTTCTTTTACTTCTATGATCTCGTTTTGTTTTTTTTAGTTGAATGCTGCCATGTTTATAGTTAGATACGATATGATATAGTTTCGAATGAAATATCCTTTATTTTGTCTTAGTTTCCATTCAAAATTCCCAGTGAATGCTTCCTTCATCCGGTGGCACCTCTCAAACACTTCCAGTTGCTAAAGGTTTTCGTTTTGCATCTGTTAATTTTATTAAATCTGTTCTGCTATGATAATACATATTAACTTGCTACTGTTTAGATTTCATGTTACTAAGACCATATGTTTGGCTTCTTGATCTCTTCAAAGTGAGAATTTTTGTTTGAGTTATTGGTTGTTAGAATTTTTATAGCTTGATTTTGGATAAAAGCTTGCTGGGTTTGATTATTGTTACAGAAATTTGAGTTGATGTGATGCATATGCTAAATTTTATTTCCTCCAGTTGTTTGGGTATATAATAATGTTCAGTTTTGTCCTTTCTTCCATTTCTCTACTTATCTGAATGTTCACCAGCAGCTTCAATGTAAGTATAGTTATGGATTTGTTTAAAACTTCGAGAAATTAGTAAATTAGTCTTTTTGAGTGTTTGTTTATTAATTGAGTGGATCATTGCTGTTGTAGGTAGTTTCAATTCATAAGCCACAACACTTAGCTTCTTGATCATAGCTTCTTGATCACTATGTATGGACCATAGAACTTATATGTTAACTTCAAATTGCTCCTCAATGCAATATTTGTGTGTTTGTGTAATGCTTCAACTTTATATATACCCAATCCCCAATTTCAAATTATACATTTCAATTGTCGAATTCTCTGTTCTGATTAATGGAGCACTAGAAGGTTTTTTCCCACCTCAAAGAGGTATGAGGCAGGGGGATCCTTTGTCCCCTTTAGTGTTTGTTATTGTAGTGGAGGGTTTTAAAAATATGATCAAGGTAGCAAGAAACACTAACTGTATTTGAGGTGGCAACAAATTCTAATTCTACACCAATTATGGTAGTCACACATCTTTAGTATGTAGATGATACTTTAATCTTTATGCTGGTGAAGGACAATTTTTGATCTTGAGGTCAATCCTGGTGTTTTTTGTAGGTGTCTGTAGATTGCACATAGATTGGAGGAATAGTCTTTTGTTCCCTATTAATGAGGTTACCAACATAGAGGAGTTGTCTAGGAATATCTTGGAATGCCTTGGGAGCCAAATCAAATTACATGAGCATTTGGAGATCTGTGATGGCAGATGGAAATCACAGTATTTATCTTTAAGAGCCAGAGTTACCCTTATGAATTCAGTGTTGGATGCTCTTCCCACCTACATGATGTCTATCTTTCCATTCCTAGATGGTATCATACAGTGGTTGGACAAGGTTAGGAGAGATTTTCTCTGGGAAGGGAATACAAAAACTGATTAAACAGTCCATCTAGTCAAATGGAACAAAGCTCATTGAAAAAAATACAAAGGGGACTTGACATTAGAAATCTCAAGCTACATAGTAAGACTCTCATATTGAAATAGCTCTGGGGATATTCACAAGAACCTCAGGCATATTGGAGTAAGGTTATTGAAATCAAATATAGTGAGAAGGATAGGCGAATGACAAAGGAAGTCAATACCCCATATGGGGTTAGTGTGTGGAGATCAACTAGAGTACTCTGGCCTTTTATGAAGAACCACACCTATGTTAAAGTTGGAAATGGTCACAAGACTTCCTTTTGGAAGGACAATTGATTGAGATCAGATAGCTTAAAGGGTTTGTTCCCTGATTTAGCTGGGAGGGCATTACACCAGGAGGAAAAAAAGGAAAGGGAGGGACAGAAAAAGATTATATATACAAGGTATCTCATTTTCTTCAATTTTACCATAGTTTTTGTTTTGGTTATAGAAATCATTGAGTCTTTCCAGAATTTCTCCCTCAAATTTGGTAAAAGTACCCAAAATGGGTTGTGACTAGATCAGGTACGATCCCACACCCACACCCACGTCATATCGACACGGGTGCGGCACCGGAAATGAAGAGTCTGAGCAACTTAGGGAAGGACTGAAATGAGGGAGTTCCGAGTGGAATTGACCTGGATAAAGCCCTGAAGAAAGTTCCATAGGCTTTAGCAACTTTGAGGGCATCCATCAAAGAAGTGGGGTTTGCCATACTAACCAAAGGTTTGATTTCATATTCCAACCCACTGATATAGCCGGATATGGAGTGACTTTCATTAAGCAATGGATTAACCAACAGCATATAGGATCATTTTTGCAAACTTCTCCTGGTAACTATCTACCCTACCAGTGTGTTTGTGGTTGTTAAATTTATCCACATTGTCCATGGATCTGACATTGCCAAATCTGCGACACACTTCTACAAAAAACGTCTACCAATTAGTGCCCCTCTTCTAAAGATGTAGCTGATGAACCACACATCAGCCTTCTCCCTCATTTAACTGATGCATAATATTTTGGTCTGGGACTTGTTATATTTTGAAAAACTGCTCACATTGCGTAACCACCCCTTGGTATTTGTCCCGTTGAACTCTGGGAAATTGATTTGGGCTTTGAAATATTTTCATGGTTGTGGACAAAAGTGTTTCACATTGGTAGTGGAAGCAGAGGGGGCTCATTGGGATTCGTATTGACCATCGGGGTTGCCGTAGTAGAGACAAAGAGAGCAGTCAACCCCAATGAGACAGTACTCACAACATGTGGATACAGGGGTGTACTATCTGGGGAAAATAGTGGAGGAGATGTAAAATCTCTTTAAAGTGGATAACTTGTAGTAGTTGAAGATGGTGATACCTGAACTCGTATGTTCGATGCATGGCCAGCGTTGTAAATAGTCATGTAACCTTGAACACTTGAAGCTACGGACTGTGGAGATTGTGGTAACATAGATGGAGCCTCAGTGCGTCGAGGTGTTTCGAGGCGTGAAATAATCAGTTCCAGCCTCTTAGTCTCGTGTTTCCTGCAGGTGAGAGGAGATTAATTTCTGGTTAGATTCGAGAGATTCAAACTTTTTAGAAGTATCAGCTCCGATGGATTGAAGCTGAGTCTCCAACTTCTTATTACCCTCTTGTAAACCTTTGAATTTCTGATTTTCAGTCATTTTATTCCTGAGAATTGAATGGCTCTGATACCACTGTCACAATTTGAGTGTTGAGTAGCTAAATGTGTGATTAACAGGAGAAAATAGATTTTTGCTAAGGAACCGAAGAATTGATAAAAAACAGAAATTCTGTTCAACTGCTAATACAATGGCTAGCTATCCTACAGGTGCGATGTGGCATTTTGTCATAAAGAAAAGGCAAATACAATGGACCATTAACTGAAATTAATTAATTGATTTAAAATAAGCGTAAATAGGAATTTATGAATGCAACTACTTGGGCCTCCACTTCAGCAAACTTGAGACATCACTTCCATATTGGGCTCGAATTCACTCCCCTTCTACTAGTCTATATCATGACACTTTTTTGTTCCCATAGTCTCGAGATTATTGTAGGAATATCTTTCAAATTGAAGCATTAGGTAATTAGACAAGGAGCTTTATATTAACTTTTGTGGTTCTATATCTGCAGCTTTATGTTTCCTATTGTATTTCTTGTAATTGTTAGCTGAACTATCTTGAATATTTTAGGTGCAAGTGAAGACCAAGATGCAAACTGAAAGTGCTTTGTCAGTTACGGGGCCAAGGCCAATGGAGTTGTCTGTTGTGCTTCCTAGGGGTCCGCAAGGACTTGGACCAAATGGAAAACCACGGACATCAAGCTTGGAGTCACCAATTATGTTGCTATCTGGACATCAAAGTGCGGTATATACTATGAAGTTCAATCCAGCAGGAACAATCATTGCATCTGGTTCACATGACAAAGAAATCTTTCTTTGGAATGTACGTGGTGATTGCAAGAATTTTATGGTCTTGAAAGGGCACAAAAATGCAGTTCTTGATGTTCAATGGACTACTGATGGATCAACAATAGTATCAGCCAGCCCCGATAAGACTGTTAGGGCATGGGATGTAGAAACAGGGAAACAAATAAAGAAAATGGCTGAACATTCCTCGTTTGTTAACTCATGCTGCCCAGCTCGTAGGGGCCCTCCTCTTATTGTTAGCGGATCTGATGATGGCACTGCTAAACTTTGGGATATGCGCCAAAGAGGAGCCATACAAACATTTCCAGACAAATTTCAAATTACTGCCGTCAGTTTCTCTGATGCCTCCGATAAAATCTGCACAGGTGGTATTGACAATGATGTAAAATTGTGGGATTTACGAAGGTGTGAAGTAACTATGACTCTTCAAGGCCATCAAGATACTATAACTGGTATGCAGCTGAGTCCTGATGGGTCTTATCTTCTTACTAATGCCATGGATTGCACGCTTCGCATATGGGACATGCGCCCTTATGCCCCCCAAAATCGATGTGTCAAGATCTTGGAAGGCCACCAACACAATTTTGAAAAGAACTTACTGAAATGTAGTTGGTCGCCTGATGGAAGTAAGGTAACAGGTGGGAGTTCTGATCGCATGGTTTATGTTTGGGACACAACATCTAGGCGGATCCTGTATAAGCTCCCTGGACACACTGGATGTGTTAATGAATGTGTTTTTCATCCTAATGAACCAATTGTTGGATCTTGCAGTAGTGACAAACACATGTATCTTGGTGAGATTTGATTAGTATTACTACCTTGTCTAACCTTGAGCTAAATATTTAGGATGAGATTTGAGAAGAAGGTGAGGATTTATGGAATGTAATCAAAGTTTGTGCACACTATGGGCAAACATTTGAACTGAGATGTGGTGATATGCTTGCTTCATTTGGAGTAGTTGATAGATGTTATTGGTGATTGGGTAGTCACTTTATTTACTTTTTTGTTGTTGAATTCATTATTTAAACTTTGGCTTGAAGACCGAAAGTGTTGCTGCTACACCATCCCTCTCCTTCTAAGGTTATGTGATATATATATATATATATATATATATATATATATATATATATATATATATATATATCAACTGTAAACTGTCATTTAAGAATAGAACATCTATTAAAGCATTCAAATCTGAAGTTGACCTACGATTTTTAGCTTTGTGCATGTCTGATATCCCCTCAACTTTGTCATTTGGAGCTGATATATCCTTGTTATGAAAGTGACTCGTATATGCCTTTAACGTTATACAAACGTTCCACATATACCCCTGGCATTACAAAATCAGCTCACGTATACCTTCCATTTAACGAAAGTTAAAAAAATTAGTTTTAAATTTATATTTTTTAAATTTAATTTTTTAAAAAATTATTTAGGGTTATATATGATTTTTCTATCAAAGTTCAAGGTATATTTTAAAATTTTTCATACATAAATTATTTTTTAACTTCTTTTATTATAATTATTTGAGTTTCTTATTCTTATTTTTTTCTTTCATTCCTTAGTTTAAAGAAAACAAATTTAAACTATTTTT